TTAGTTGTGCATGTATAACACAGCAAATATGTTGAAAACAATGTAAAAAAGCTTTTGTTTTTCACCTTTCGTGTTCCTCACCTCAGATGTGAACAAATGAACGTATTTCGTATAGACGTTAGGATGAAATATATGAAAATTTAAATTAAAAAACAACATTATGATATATATTGTTCCAGGCAAAATTCAGATATTCCAGTGAAATAACGTTTCTGACTATCTGGGTCAGGGATTCACTAGACTAATTGTTAATAACACGCTGTTTTGTCAGACATTTTTACTTTACGTTGAGCTTCTTTAATTAACTTAAGATAATGTTGGTATTAATTGTGCAGCTGACTTTCTAAGCATCGTGAATTATCTGGTCCGAGCGCCTGTTATTTTCTAGATATAAAGTTCATCTTGGGCTCAAACTGAAGTTTAGGAACATGGGAAGTTTAAGGAACCCCTTTTCTATCATTTAAACTGAAGACCTCTTAATTAGAGACATGTTTTATTAATATTAATATGTTATTGTCAATGCATTAAACTGTATGAACCTAGATATTTAACTCAATAACTGCAGGAAGGTTGTGTACAATTAGAGATTTGGATGAATTTTGAGCAGATTATTTCCTGTGAATGTTGATCAGATGAGTTTCTTGATTTTTTTTAGGAACTTTTTATGCAATTCACTGTCTGCATTATATATATGTTTTTATAATTTACAGACTTAATGAGTTTCTTTTTGACACATGCAGTGGTTTCTTCTCATTGTTCTTTCAGCTGTTTGGTTGTTGGACGAGGCTGTTTATCAGAGACTGAAAGCTCTGTGAATATAACTTTAAAGTTTACATCTTAAATAATAATCTAAACTGTTATTATGTATATTTGTAGTTTTCTTACAGCCCTTACAATCCTCGCGACCCCCCAGTGAAGCTAAAAGAGTGTCTTTGTTTAAGCTGCTGTTGAACAGCTCAGCGTGTTGAGTAACATCCTGTTTTCCCTCCTCCAGTGCCCGAGGTGTATGCAGTGTGACACCAAATTCGACTTCATCAGAAGAAAGGTTTGTTTTTTAACGCAGCTTTCTCCGACTGAATAAAAACCAGCTGGTAGAAACTGGAAGAACTGGAGGTTTTCATGTCGTCTGTGTTGTTTTCTCTCCTCTTTGCTTCTGTCTGTTTGTTTTGGCACACTGGAGTCTCTGTGGTGACGTTTTCCTGTGTTTCCCAGAGCCGCACTCTCTGTTTCCAGTAAAAACCAGCACAGGAAAGGTTTTGTCCACTGGCCACAGCACAGTCCAGCTGTGTATCTTCAACACAAATAAGACGCTTAAAGGACTGAGACGTGTACATACACAGCGTCCACTAAAGGTTCAGGCCTCTTTCTCAATGTGGAATTGCACAATTCAGATCCTCTGACCAGTTTGAGTGTCGTTCTGCATTTAATACAGTTTATCCAGTAGATGAGAGCCTGAGAGCTTGTTTCTGGACTAACAGCTGAAAGTCATTTCCTGATTCAAAGTGCTGTACTGGTTGTTTTTTGTGTCCTGTGACACCAGAGGAGCTCAGTGTTTCTGCACTTGTGTCAGTGATTCAGATTGTCTCCAGCTGATTCGCAGATTTCTGCTTAAACTTTCTGTTGGAACAAAAAGTCAACACGCTGCACTTTCTGCTGACAGACTTCCTGCAGGGTGTTGACACTTTCCACATATGAAATATGCTTCAACTGAATATAAACCAAAAACAGGGTTTCCACACGTCACAGGAACATCTGGAAATTGATCAAATATCCTGAACATTTTTAATCGTATTTAATCCGTCAGTCAGATCCGCCTCGTAGAACCTGAGTGTGTATTTAGTTTGAACCTCGACTGTTGTAGGACGAGCTGCGGAGTCTCATTTCTTCAGACCTGCGAATAAAGAATAAATGCTCCTTAATTTGACCAAAGTAATGTTACAGTGATCCGCTGTGGAGAGAACTAGAGCTGCACAGGGTGGTAAAATAACCTCACTGCGTTTGTTTTGACTGATTCATGATAAGTGCAGAGATGATTTATTGATCATTGATGAGTGACAATTTAACATGTTCACTGTAAAAACGATTCAAATCACGATGATGTAAGTATGTAAGGAAGTAAAGCTTTATTTATTTATCACCTTTTTGACCCAGAGATCCAAAGTGCTTTACAAACAAACAAACATAACAACACACAAAAACACAAACATAAGGGAGATAAAACAAGAGAGACGACAGATGAGAAAACAATGTGACGTTTGTTAGACTCTGGACCAAACAAACATGTTTTTGATTGATTTGTAGACATGTTGTTGTTTGTTGTGATTGTTGTTTGTGTATTGTCAAGAAAAATGATTTCTTAAAGAGTGGGAACCCCGAAAACTCTTTTAACATTGATATTAGTTTGTTCTCCTCGTACATTAGTCCTCTGTTGATCCTCTCAGCCAGCATTAAATAATTCTGATCAGAACAATGAAAGGTAAAATGAACAGCAACATAAAGCATTTGTTATTTGTTGAGTCAGGAAACGTTCACTTTACATCAGACTGCAGGAGAAATCCTGCGCACACTGTCCAGGATTTATGTTCTTTCCCTGTAACTCTTTGATTTAAATACATGTGAATATATGACATATTTATACGACCTAAAAATACCTAATTAATTAATCGAACAGGTGCTTCTTTTAAAATCCCACCTACACCCTTTTTATGAAACAGATTTATTCCCCTGAAGTTAATTTAATGTGAGCCAATATAATATGACTGCCGGTGAATCAGACTGTAACTCGTGTTTCCCTGCAGCACCACTGTCGGCGGTGCGGCCGGTGTTTCTGCGATAAGTGCTGCAGTAAGAAGGTGGTGCTGCCCCGCATGTGTTTCGTGGATCCGGTGCGGCAGTGCGCCGAGTGCGGCCTGGTCTCCCAGAAAGAGATGGAGTTCTACGACAAGCAGCTCAAAGTGCTTCTGGGAGGTGAGGAGTTTGTGGATGGATGATAGATAGATAGATAGAATTTAGTTTTAAAACTGTCCTCCTGATCTCATCTCTGTGCTAAAAACACAATTTCAAACTACCATTTTCCTTCCTTTAATAACGTCTCTTAACTCAACTGGGTTCTTTGCAAAAGGGCTGCAAATCATAATTATTTAAATGAGCTTCTTGATTAATTATACAGCCTAAAATGACATTCTGATATTCACATTTGTTGTTTTATTTGACAACTTTCAGCTTGAAAAGTGACCAAATACATCTTCAAAATATTGAATTATTAGTTTTTATCAACTTTTTTATTATTTATTAATCTAAAAGTAATTTCAGCTCTTCTTAACTTGTTAAAAGGTTTCAATTTAATTCCAAACAGCAAAGTGAACCTGCTTTAGTGAAGAAAATCCATCAGAACGAGTGACAGCAGGATGTAAATACTTAAATTACTTCTTGAAAAGGTCGACGTTGGGACATTTGCACATATCCAGAAACCTGTTATATCCACGTCCCTCATGATGTTTGAAAGAGAGTTCCTCCTCTATTCTGAATGAGCTGTATACCAACAAATGCTCCTAAAACCGGAATGATCAACATATCCGCCATGTTTTAATCAGAAAATGCTCCATGAGGAATAATTAGCAATATGTTGTTTAAACTTTAATAAAAGTGGAAGATTTGTCACTTTAGTGGTTCACTCTCGCAGCCTACGTGCTGTTTTCTCTCTCAGAGTTTGACTTCATGACACACTGTTATCTGTCACTGTCACAGGAAGCAGAAATACTATAAAAATGATCTCTGAAATAATCCAATAGAGTTCCCTCCTCCTCCTCCTCCTC